GGGACACCCTTCAGGGCAAACCAGCCAGCCCCCACCCATGCACCAGGCCTCTATCTTATATATTAAAGGGTAATATGCAAACTGACCCTAACAGCAGACGACTGGGAATGACTGGTCACTATGTGCACGTGGTCTGCAGGTGAACGGTGACGCTGAGATGAGCTTGGCGTGCAGGATTGAGCTAAGAGAAGCGGAGGGCTACCGCTCGCTCAGCCGTGTAGCAAAACCTCCAAGGCTCTCATGGCTTTTATTAGGGGAGCACAGCAAGTAACAATGGAGTACAGCAAGTGACAATGGTAAACCAGCATGCCTATGAGGTCATTTGAGCTAAGTTATACATTAGACTATTAATGTCCTATGTTATACAAAGACCCTTTCCACCTGCAGCAGTGCACCCTCCCTGGCTTTCCATGCCATCATGGACTATTTATCACCTCAAGGAAATTCTGCCTCTGAACAATAAATCTTGCGTGCAAGACTTTGTTCTGACGTGGCCCGCTTGCAGGCCCTGGCCTTTTCTTGGCAGAAAGTCCTCTTCTAGTTAACTTCATTCCACTTGACCGGCTACACTATGACACACACTGACCACCAGGGGGCAGACGCTCAATGCAGGAGCTGCCCCCTGGTGGTCAGTGCGCTCCCACAGCTGGAAATCTGCTCAGCCACAAGCCAGGCTGAAGGCTGCCAGCACAGAGGTGGTGGCAGGAGCCTCTCCCGCCTCCTCAGCAGCACTAAGGATGTCCAACTGCAGCTTAGGCCTGCTCCCCGCTGGCAAGTGGACATCCCCCGAGGGCTGCCGGGCTGCCAGAGGGATGTCTGACTGCCAGCTTGGGCCTGATCCCTGGGGAGTGGGTCTAAGCCAGCAGGTAGACATCCTGTGAAGGGTCCCAGACTGCAAGAGGGCATAGGCCGGGCTGAGAGACCCCCCCTACCCCCTTGAGTGCACAAATTTTTGTGCACTGGGCCTCTAGTTAAAATATATTAAAATATATATATTGCCCCAGGTTTCTGCAGAGGGTGTCCCTTTAAGGGGCTCCTGGATGCCTGTGTCACATGTCCATCATTCCATGGGCCTTCCGTAATTTGTGGCCCAGCGGGATGTTCCAGGCACTTCTGGGGCCACGCTGTCCGTCCAGGACCAGGCATTGCTCCTGACGGCCTGGGCTGGGTCTGTGGAGATCAGTGTTTGGAAAGAACCTTAATGGGCTGGGCGTGCACACTGCACCAGGGTCTCAGGGGTGAAGTAATTGCACCCCATGCTCTCTACACATGTGTGCGTGAGAGGTCAGCCTCGCTGGACGGCCCGCGCTCACAGGAGGACCTAGGTGCAGAGAGTGCCAACCCCTCCCAGAGGCCCATTCCTCCCACAGCAACGAGCACCACAGCCACATACACCACAGCCACATGCTCCACAGCGGTGGCCACAGCTGCTGAGGGCACTGAACTGTAGGCACCCCCATGCCGCCCCCATTTCCCTCGCCTCTCTATCCCCTCTGCCCCCCCCCATTTCCCTCGCCTCTCTGTCCCCTCTGCCTCCCGTGCCTGGGCTCCTGGCCGAGGTTCTGAGCTGCTCTCCGGGGAGGCCTCTGGGGCGCCCAGGGTCCACCTGGATCTGTGTGTGGGTGGAGCGGGTCCCTGAGGGGTGGGGGCTGCTGGGGACTTTTGGGAGCTGCTGCCTCAGGCCTTCGGGCTGCGCTCAGAGGCGACACCAGCTGGCAGCATGAACAGGTCTCACTGTGGAAGCCACACCTTCCCAGCGGGAACAGGAGCAGCTCCGTCGTGGTGGCCGCGGTCACAACCACACAGGGCGCCCCTCAGCTTCGGGACCTGCAGCCTCCACCGGCCGGGCCTCTTGGACAGGCCGCTCCTTCTGGCGGGCGAAGCAGGACCGTGGCTCCCACCTGTGGCACTGGAGCCGCTACTCCCCAAGCGCCTGCAGACCCGCTGGGCAGGGAGGCCAGGCCCCGGTCTAGCATATTTGGGTAGCGAGTTTCTAAGCAAAGACACGTGGCAGTGGCCCCTATGGGAGGCAAGTGCCGACTCCGCTTCATGGGACCCTGGGCAGGAGGGAGAGGTGCTCCTGTTGCAGAAGACCCCAGAAAAACTAAGCGACACTTTGAAGAAGTGGAGAGACACTGTTTTAATTACACCGGCGGACTCCGGGAAATAATTTCCAAATCAGATTCCCGAAACATGCAAGGGCCCTCATTTTATATCTCCCTGTGGTCTTTGTCCTGCAAATATGGATTATGCTTCCGGTCCTTTTCGCGGGCTTTTCAAGAGGCCCTCAGGTGTTGGGGTTCTTCCTGGCACCAGCGATAACAGCCCTCCCTTTGGGCAGTGCACTGTGCACAGGTTTATGGCCTCTGTAACAGATTCTGCAAGACCAGTTTCTGGGAAAGAGGTAATGACTTAATTATAGGTTAGCTTGCTGGCATGGATTCCAACTGCTAGACCCCAAATATCAGGATTACATTTGAATTAGCCCTTTTTAGCCTTCTCACCCCCACCACCCCTCCGCTTGTCCCACAAGCTTCTCTTAGCCTTGTGGTACAACTACGGGATGTTATGGTGAATGTGGGCGATGACCGCTCTTAACTGCTTCCGGCTGGAAAGGGACGATGACAAAGGGAGTTAGCATCCCATTTTTTTCCTCTCGGAGGGGTTTGTTTTGGGAACCCCTGGACCTGCTGGGGTTGGACCCCAACGGGGAGGTAGGTGCAGCTAATATTATTAGTGGGAGCACGTTATTCCCTCTATTTCTGTTCAGTGGGGGTCTCCAACAGTGAACCACTAAGACAAAGAGTAGTATTATGACTATTCCTGCCAGGCTGATGTAGCCAAGGATGGCATGGCAAGGTGTAGTCCAGGAGTCCTCAAACTACGGCCTGCGGGCCACATGCTGCCCAGTTTTCAGCCTTGAGGGTAGAGTTGCATAGTTCATCTGAGAGCCAACCTGTGGGATGTTGTCCTTGGGTGCTGCTGAAACAAACAGGAGCAACATTAGTTAGCTGCACATTGTCCGTGACAGGTCCTATGATTTTTTCCGTCCAATACAAACGGTCTGAGGGACAGTGAACTGGTCCCCTGTTTAAAAAGTTTGAGGACCCCTGTCAACAATTCATGATGAGGCCTTTGTCCCTTGCTGTGTGGGAAACAGTAATTTTATGGTGCTTCTGTGTCCCAGCAAGAGCGGATGAGTTCTCCTCCTGGTACTAGCCTTGAGTTCCAGTGGCACTCATAAAAAGACAAAATGAGAATTATTAGAAAGATAAAACCAATGATTGCCCATACTTACCAGAGCATATTACCTTTAGGAGGAGATAAGAAAGGAAGATTAGTGTTAGGGAGAATTCAGCAGGGTGTTATCTGAATTCCTTGGAGCAGGTTGATCGGAAAGGCCTGCTGTCTTCTTGAGGGTGATCCGCAGGGGGTGTTTCTGGTCAGAGGTCACCTTCCACTCAGGCTGGCTGTCACTCGACTGGTGGGCTGCCTTTACCTGGGAGTGGTGGATCCAGGTGTTCAGTCCTGCAACCTTGAGAGCTGTGGGGTGGTTAATATGACTGGATAGGTCCCTTCCAGGTAGGCTTGAGGGGCTCCTTTTTCCAATCCTTTAACCAAACCTGGTCTCCAGGTTTATAAGGATGTATGGCTGTTCCTAGAGAGATGGGTAGTCAGTCAATAACCCACCTGTGGACCTCAAAGACAGTTTTTCCAAGTCCTTGTAGTTGTTTCTGGATTTCTAAGTTCCCTATTTCCCCCAAATCTCCCTTTGGCCGAATCAAGGGAGGGAGTCTACCATATAGAATTTCCAAGGGAGAGAAACCTACCCTGGCACAGCCTACCCTCAAGAGTAAAAGAGGCAAGATATCTATCCAGGGTAAGGCTGTCTCTTGGCATAGCTTAGCCATAGTCTGCTTTATTGTCCGGTTCATGCGTTCTACTTTCCCTCAACTCTGAGGCCTGCAGGCTGTATGTAGGTTCCATTTAATTCCTAAAGCCTTGGCTACCTGTTGTGCTATCTCTGCTACAAAGGCTGGGCCATTATCGGGCCCTATGGTCAGAGGCATTCCATACCGTGGAATTCTATCCTTCAGCCATGCCTTTTCCGTGTGTGTGGGATATGCCTCGACCCAGCCTGAAAAGGTGCAAACGAAGACTAGTAGGCATTTATTCCCTCTGCTAGGCCCTATTTCTGTAAAATCTACTTCTAAGTCCTCAAAAGGAGCTTGCCCACAGCGCTGGACTCCTATCGGTCATCCAGGACCCTGTTTAGCCTTGTTCTGAGCACAGAGGAGGCAACGCTGAGAGACTGAGGCACACAAGGAGGGAAGATGGGCAATTAGGTAGTACCTGCCTCAAAAGCTTCTGGGGCAGCCTTCCCTAAATGAGTGAGTTCATGCTCTGGGACATAGACCCTATGATCTGGGAGTATCCACCAGCCTTCCTTTGTTCTCTTGCCCCCTTCTTGCTGGGCCCATTCCTCCTCCCGAGGAGTGTATTTTGGAGGTTCAGGTAATTCGGGGCCAACATGATCCGTGACGGTGCCGCTTGTTCTTTAGCAGCCAGCTTGGCTGTGGGGTCAGCACGCTGGTTTCCTTCTGATACTGAGTCCTTCCCTTTCTGGTGACCTTTGCAGTGGATGACAGCTATTTCCTTGGGCTCCCAGACTGCTTCTAGTAACTTTAAAATCTCATTCTGATTTCTGATTCCTTTTCCTCCAGCCATCAAGAGCCCCCTATCCTTATATATGGCCCCATGGATATGCAGGATAGCAAAGGCATAGCGTAGCGCGAGTCAGTGTAGATGTTGGCACGCTTATCCTTACTGAGTTCTAAGGCTCTGGCGAAGTTCTGCCCTCTGTGGTGACCACCCTTCAGGCAGGGCCTGTGCCTCGATTGTCTCAAAGTCTGATACCACTGCGTATCCGGCTCGTCTTTTTCCTTCATCTAAGAAGCTGCTGCCGTCTGTGAACAATACCAAGTTGGGGTTAAGCAGGGGCCTATCCTCTAGGACTTCCAGGCAATCATGCTCAGGGGCCCCCTCAGCAATGGGTAGAAAAGTGGCAGGATTAAGAGTTCTCACTGCTTCTAATCCTACCCTCGGACTCTCACGTAATAATCCTTGGTATTGAGTCATTCAAGCAAGAGCCAGCCAGTGCTGCCCCCTTGCTTCCATGAGGGTGACAACAGCAGGAGGTACTTTTACATTTACGTTTTGTCCTAAGGTCAGCTTATCCGCTTCCTTGACTAACAATGCCGTGGCTGCAAGGGCCCTGAGGCACGGGGGCCACCCGGAGGCAACTGGTCAGTCTGCTTGGAGAGATAGGCTACTGGTCTTTGCCAGGGTCCAAGTGCTTGGGTTAGAACTCCTAGGCCAGTGATGGCGAGCCTATGACAC